CTCTCTCTCTGGCAAGCATACATACCCTCTACCAAATTTTAAAAAAGTTAAATAGACAATGTCAATTACCCAGAAAGGTATAAGTATATTCCCAGAAGATAACAAGTGCGGCTGTCCACAAAATGACTTCTGCAAGAAAAACAACCCTAATTGTGGTATGAATACCATTCAGCAGCAATGACAAGCCTAAAACTAGCAATACACACACACAAAAATGGGTGAATATCCACACTATTATGTTTCATGAAAGAATCTAGACACAGAAGAATACCTACTATATGAGCCCATGAATGTGACATTTAACAGACGAAACTACTGTATGGTGATGGAAGTCAGAGATAGTAGCTACCTCTACAGAAGCAATGTGGACTAGAAGGGGCATAAGGGGGAGCCTTTCTGGGGTGGCGGATGTGTTTTAGATCTTGATCTGGGTAGTGTTCACATAGGAAGATATATGTAGAAGTTTTTTTTTTTTTTTAAGAAAAATTTCTGCTTAAGGGTGCAGAGAGATAGAAAGCAAGAAATCACCCCCTAGAGGGATGGTCACACTGCAATCCCTTCTCCTTCATTCTGCTCTCGGGCTCTTGGGCACGCACACACATGCACCCAGCGTGAGTTTTAAGCTGCCACGTCTGGGACTCAAACTGCGGTCAACTATGTGGGAGTCCAGCGATGTAACCATTACGCTGACTGCTGGTCCCTGACATATGCAGAAGTTCTTAAGCTGTACTTTAGTTGGGTGCATCTGACTGTCTATAAATTATAGTTCAACAAAGAACTGTTAAAATTAAGAATGTGGTCTGGGCTGGTCCTGTGGTCTAGTGGTTAAGGGAGCCAATCCTGCATGACCAGCTGTGTGGTTTGAATCCCAGGCCTGGTGTCTTGAGAAACACTCCAGTCACGTGCGTGTTCAGAATCCAAACAGGATAGAGAAATGGAGAAGGGATTGTGCTGAGACTATGCCCCATTCGGGAGTGCTTTCTCCCTCTCCCTCACTTTCTGTCTGTTTCTGGTGAGCACGCATGTCCATCTGGCTAAAAAAAAAGAAAGAAAGAAAAAGAATGT